ACTGCTGTCCCAGAATGTTTTTTCTTTGCCTCAGTCTTCGCCATGGAAGGGTGAAATGAGGGTCAAACTAAAAATGTCTCTGTAGACAAACTGTTTCATGAGAGAACCATTTAGACTGCATGAGCCTGTCCCCAAAGGCCATTTACTAAATTCTGATTCCAACTACGTGGTTTTTTTTAAAAAAAGAAAAGGTAATTTAACACATGAAAAATACTAGTTTTCTGGAAAAATAGGTGTGGTTGTCTGCTTCTAGGCAAATTAACAGTGTTAGCATAACTCCTAAGGATAAAGGGCCCAGAGATCCTTAGTTATTTTCATACCAAATCTACAATTGTGATAAATAATAATTTCTATTTACCTTACTAAAATTATGTTAAATAATCTACATACATTACTTCATTTAAGTCTTAGAACACCATTTATTCATTGGCCTGCTAAACAAAATTCTAAATGCTAAAGTACCAAATGCATTTAGAACTAAAATTCCAAAGTTTATTTCGTACCAAAAACTAAATATCAAGTACTAACTACATTTTTATAGCAACAAAGGGAGCAAAATCTTTGCCCTGATAAAGCATATGTCCTGAAGGAATAGAAAGCCACTAAATCAACATGTAGGAGGGTAAGGCAGTTTAGCAGCATACATACGTGTACACACACACACACACACACACACACACACACACCTTCACATGCTTCTAGTGTTTGATGCAATAATGCTAAAGCACATCGAGAACATTGTAGAAGCACAAGACAGTTATTTTGAATCTGCAGGTTAAAAGAGTGTTCTTTGTAAAAAAAAAAATGAAATGAGAGAGGACAAAAGTCACTTGACTTGACTGTTGGAGAAAAATGTTACAGTTAGAAGAAAAAACAAGTGAAAAGCCCTAAGGTGGGGTGAATGTGGTGGAATAAAGGGTAAACGGAGTAGACACCGTGAACAGCAAGACAGAGACGAGGGCTAAGGGAGGCACCGAAGCCTCGGCCTCATAGATTCGTTTACATAGTGAGGGACCTCAACCTCCACCAGGAGCCAGGAGCGTGTGGAATGAAGGCCCTCGGAAGTTCTCTTGCAGGGAAGACACCCGTTGTGCTTTGCCTTTAAAACGATCAATCCAGATGCTCTGTAGTCGGGACTATCAAACAGCAGAGGCAGAGGCAGAAAGACATGGCAGGAAGCTGCCCCGATATTCAGATCCCAGTATTCAGTGAGTGTACACTTACTGGGGTGCACACAATTGGCAAAATGTTTTGGATCTTGTATTTCCACTACATATATGCGATATAAATCATAGGATACATTAATATTTATTAGACATTAGGTTATATTAACCTCCCAAATCAGTGCACTATGCTCATTATAAAACATAAAAAAGAAATGTTTTTTAAAAAATTAAAACATTTTAAAATAGTTTGTTATCAGTTATAAAAGTTATATTTTGCTTTACCAAAATGTTATTTTGGTATCTGTTACTAACACTTTAGGTTTTCACTTTATTAGTATTTAGCATGTTTAGGACAATACGATCAAATATTTTGAAAAGCTTTCTTGGTATCTAACTTCAAGAATTATTTTACATTTATTTTGGCTTAAAAATACTTGCTAATCATGATAGTTTAACTGTTACCAACAAATCAACTGAAGCTAATGTAATCATTCATAGTATGTTTGTTATTCCACAAAGTTGGAAATTTTGAATTCTTTACTCATTCTGCCATATCTGATTAGGTCATCATTAGTTTACCTCATAACGTGACTGACAGAAACCATGTTGTCATAGGCAAGGTAATTATCAGCTGTTAAATTTCCTCAGTATTAGCTTGTTCATTTGTTATTATTTTCAATCTTGATTTCTCAGGAGTTTTCTGAGAACATTTGGCAATGTTAAGGCAAAGTTTGATTTCAAAATTAGTTAATGCTACTTGGTTCAGGAAAGTATAGAGTGTGAAAAAACTTTAATAATAAGTAAGCAGACACTTGGAGGCATAGAGAAACTGTAGATCACTCAGGCGTCCCTGCCTGTCATAGGATGTATGAATTAATAGAGAACAATTGCTGTCAATCCATTATTCTGTAGGAAATCTTGGTCTCTTGCTTTCTTTTGAAGATACAATTAAATAAAAATAGACACTCTTGTGTCTTTTTAAGGACTACTCTCAATGGTTGCCTTATGTATTTTGGCGGAGCATAAATCCTACTTTGTGCACCATTAGCCTATGATAGAAGTTGTGGTTTCTTGAACTAGGTTGAGGTAAAGCTGGTTATTACTTTAGGGTAAACAGTTTTGGACACAACAATCAGTGCACTGAACTCACCTATTCCCACAGGACTATGAGAGCTTCTAGAACTTTCCATTTGTCCTATATTTTTAATATTACTTTTTCCAGAAAAAATATAACAGTATTAAGATTTCACATTCATATATACTATTTTAGTGGCTATTTGATTTTTTTTAGAAATTTTATCTCTTTTATTTACATTGAAAAAGTTTGCTTCCTGAAAGAAGAATCTTAATTGCTTAAGTTTATTATTTTTGTTTCTTTTCATCTTTCCCAAATAATATTTTACCAAGAGTATTGAATAAACTTTAATATTTCTTTGCAAACCTACTTTTACATTATCTTCCACTAAGCATGTATTCTCGGAATCATGCCCTCTAAGGTTATTTGAAATACATTTGACCATACATCTTGTTACCTGGTTATCCCCAGAAATATTCAATTTATTCTTTCAAAATACATTATTTCACTTTTATATTTACAAGTATTGCTGTATGCATTTACACTTCCCCTTGATTTTTCCTACAATGCAGTTTACTGGTTATATTTTTCCTTAGGAGACATCCTAGGAGACCACTTTTAGAGAAAGTTTCCTCACTATTTATCAACTGCATACTTGCCGGGACTGAGTGTTTGTGTCTCTATAAATTTATGTGTTGAAATTCTAATCTCCAATGTCATAGCATTAAGAAGTGAGGTCTTTGGGAAATCATTAGATTATGCAGGTGCAGCTATCATGAATGGAATTACTGTCCTTATAAAAGAAACCTCAGAGGCCAATCTCACCCTCTTTTTGCCACAGGAGAGTAAGAGAAGAGGGACGCATAAAAGCACCCTCCCAGAGCTGATCTCAGACTTCCAGCCTCAACACCGTGAGAGATATCTATGGTTTACCAGCACTCCATCCGCCATATTTCATTATAACAACTCACAAGGGATAAGACCGAAGTCCTCCCTCATGTGAGCCTACCAGTTAATCAGTCCCTTTCTGATGTACTTTGGACTTTGTCTGGCCTTTTGCTATTATGCTACTATAAATTATGCTTTAATGCTTTATAACATTGTGTACATGTCATTTCATATTTTTGCCAATGTATCTCTGGTAAGGATTTGTAGAAGAGAAATTTCTAGGTCAAAGAGTAAATGAATATGTAATTTTTAAAGATATTCACAAATTCTGTGGTTTGTAGTTGACAAATTCTAGGGTTTGTAGAGTTTTCACAGGTCTTCATTTGTAGAATGAAACAAGGTTATATCACTTTCAGCACTTTTTACTTTTGAAATATTAAATGCTTTCATTGCTCAGTATATTGTACAGAAATTTGAAGAGTAAATTCTTGTCTGCACTCAAGTTTAGTAAAAGTCACATGTCCTTTCAAAAGCTGGCATGTTATCCTCGGTTAGTAGACTGTAAGGGAATATGACAGGGTCTCATTAGTCTTTCCTGGAGGAAGAGCATTGGGATCAAAAGGATTCGACAAGGATGGACACCAGCTCTCAGGTTTGCTGAGACAGGTGTGTCACTCTTTCAGTAAGTCAAGACTCACTAGCTCAGAGGAAGGGACAGGAAGAGGCGGTGCCCACAAAAGCATTGGTCTGCTGTGTCTGCCTGGTACAAGACTGTGAGGGAAAGCTTTCGTGTCAGGCCTACTCTGTGGGCCTAGAACTTGCAATCACACACACACACACACACACACACACACACACACACACACACATACATAAACACACATGCACATACACAGAAATCAACAAGTGGAACCCCACTGTCGCTGGAGATGGAAAGAACTTCCCAAAAGTGTCAGTGTAAACTGGAGGCTTGAAATAGGGGCCAGTGACGGGAACAAAGACTAGCAGTAAAGAGAAGTGGAGAGAGCCCAAAGGATTGCAGTAGAGGGCTTGCTTTGAAAATCTAAATTTCTAGTCTTATACTACGTCTAGGAGAGATTTTAATTAAAATCCTAGATTCTGCTACATTTCAAGGGACCTGGTCTGAGAAACTTGCCTCATTCTCAAACAGATGAGCCACGCTGAAAATGACTAGCTGACCAGTAGCCCAAAAAGTCCCTTTCTCTGAGAAATGCCTTCAGTGTCTCCCACGTCCTCCATACAGGGAGGGGAGAGGAGATTCACCATCAGCTGCTGTAACTGTGCTCAATCAGAACATCTTTCCTTCTCCATGGAGATGTCTTTTAAATTGATAGGTCAAAATGTTTCTTGAAATTTAGTGGAAAAAGAAGGGCAGGAGATCAAGAAAGGGGAAAGACAGGGAAAATAGAAAAATTGGTGTGTTTCAGTGATGTGCTAAAATTACCATCATTGTTGCTTTAGAAAAAAGTAATGTTATGCACTGTGTCAACTTGAAAGACTCAGCAGGGAGCCGGGATCCTTACTTTGTAAATACTCTCAGCCTGTAGAGGAAAGGGGCACAGAGACCTGCTTCCCTCTTTTGCCCTACTGCTCTTTTTGCCCAGTTTCTGTCTTGAAGAATGGTGCCAGTGCCATGCCACCCTGCCTTGCAGCCAGATGATTGCAGACTGAAACTTCCAAAAACTGTAAGCTAAATAAACCTTTCCTTCCTTCATTCTGAGTGTTGGGTATTTTGTCTCAGCCACAAGAGCAAAGTAACCAAGGCAAGTAATTTAGTAAAATGGTCATGTTGTTTAATTATGAGTCTAAGATTGTACTGAAATAAGAAATAAAATAAACTTTAAACAAAATAATTCATCATAATATTTTCTTAAAATAAAAAATAATATGGTGGACTCAAAATGCTACTTTGTTATGATTCACCAGGACAGAGGTTTACACAGGTATTTGATCTGTACACGTTTATGACATTAAATCACGACACCAAAGGCACCATCACAGCATTAGATACTGAACCAAACGTAACAAATTCATCTTTAAAAAAAAACCCAAAATGATACATTTTAAGGTTATACAAATAATTGAAATGTGTTACGTGCTTTTCAAATACACTGTTTTCATATACGCATTGCAATAATCTCTAATTGATAGTAGGGTACCAAAATTCTGCTAATCAAATAACAAAACACAAGATGCTGCAATATGTAGCCAAGCACCAATTTAGCCCATCATTTGATTCTCCTCCAAACTAATGGACTACAAAAACATGGACAGTGAACTGAGTATTTAAAAGAACCACTGAAGTAATCTAGGCCTCAAATGTCTTGAGGTTTAGTTTTCTTTTTTTTATTATTAGCAGATTGTTTAAGAAACAGTAGGAAAGACTGGAAAATTTAAATTGATGTTTTCTGTTCAGTGAAATACTAGGGCTCAGACAAAAATGTTCCCTGGAACTTAGGAAAATGTGGGGACAGAGTAGATCCATTTTGGGGGACTGTACTTTGGGATTTTCCATAAAATTTAGAGCATAGAAAAGATTCTTCTGAAAATATTTAGTAAACAACTTCAAAGTACATTTTATTTGGTAATGCTAACATAGTTTAAGAAATATGTTAAAACCGGATGATTTACAATACCTAATCATTACATAGCTTAACTGGAAATCTACCTGAGAATATTCATTGTCTTTACCAGTTATTGGAGACACAATTCTTATCAGTAGGGAAAAATATAAGATAGAAAGACTTTGAATGAAACATTAAAATTTTATTATTTGTTCAAAAGTATAACCAAATAACACTACTGAATTATACATCAACAGATAAAGATGGAGATACCAGTCTTTTATACATGTACCAGTTATTTAGTTTATTTCCTTTTAACCTCATATACTATGTTAAAAAATAATTATCCTGAAAATGAGACACAACTATAATTCCTTTTACTAATTATAGTTGTACTGACTACAGACATAAACCAAATAAAAATAAGTTTTATCAATGCCTGTTTCAAAAAAGAAAAAGCAAAAAATACTTTAGTAAGTACCCTTCGAACTGGAAAATCATACACAAATAATATTATTTGGGAAAGTGGATGCCAAGACACATTAACTCACTTTTACCCTATTAGTAAAGGACATCACTGGAATCAAGCACTTTTAAATGCTGTACGATTAGGACATAGTCAAGAATGAGAATACTGTGCAACTCAAAATTTTACAGAAAGCAAATGACTTTTGCTTTGGCTAAGAAGCCACCAATAATTTGTATCTACAACCAGCAGAGGGCGCTAGGGCCTGCAGTATGGTTAATAACAAGTGGACTCTTCTTGAGTTTGGAAATTGCCCAGCTAAATAATGCTTTAAAGAAGAAAAGTGGTGATGCTAAAGAAGTATAACTGCATTCTTCAGCACTTAAGTAATGTTAATTATTAAATAAAACATTTAACTAGCCTGTTTTGTGAAGATTTAACACAGGTTTTTATTAATATTTCTGAATTAAGAATTGAATGAATAAAGGAATATTACTAAAGTCATTAACACTAACAATTTACTTAGCACCACATGTTTAGCACCAGAATAGGTATTGATAGCTCACACTTAATTAACTTTAACTGCAGAAAAAAAAAACCCTAAAATTGGCTTGAGACTATGGTGATTGTAATGTATTTTTAGCACCATTGACCATAGTGAATTGTTACAGATTCTAAGTTTTTGATTGACATTAGTAAGTCAAAATTAGAACATGACATACTTTTAAAAATCATTTTATGTATTTAAATGCTTTCATCCACACATATGACAATACAAAATATTATAATACCAAAGACAATGTTAAATATTAATAGGTAATTTTATCCTCCCTAAATACTTGAGTAGGTAAAGGCTTCCATCTGTGTCAAGATTTGGCTCCTGTGTTATTGAAGAACCTAAGTATGTTGTTATACTGGTAAAAAATGAAGACCAAAATCTTAGAATTATAATTCCTTCATAGAAACATTCAGTATATCAGTTTGGATACTGCACTTACTTAATAGACAGGGCATGACCCTAAAACATTCAAACTGGCATAAATGCATTAGGTTAACTTACAGAGGTGCTGTAAGTTGACTTAACACAAGTTTGTAGGTATAGGGAAATATGTATTATTTCAATTCAAATTTTCTGAGAAAACTATCTTAGTTCACGTGACCTGCTTTGTGGGTCAGCTCTGTCCTATAGCTACAAACTTTCAAGTGAATGTTTTCAGGAGTTTCAGATGGAAGATATCAGCACCACCAAATGAGGTTGATAAAGAAGCTTTGAAGGGCCAGAAGACAGGCCGTTTACACTACTGAGGAAAATCCTAAACAGTGGTAACCGTTATTTATTCCATATTTTCCAAGTACACTTATTTGTCATAACCAGAAATATTAAGACTATGCCTACAAAACTTGCAGACAATTTTATAAAGAAATCCATTGCATAAGAGCTAAAATGGTATTTTTTTCATTCTTTCTTTGATACAGAGGCCAAGAACTTATACTGGAACATAATATTCTGACTTTTCCATTGAATAAAGAATGGTTAGAAAGAAAAATCAACCCTGTAGAACATATATGCCAATTACTGTTTCTTTAAAATGAAACATTTCCAAGTGAAAACCTCAATACTGACTCTTTAAAGCAGCTTTTATGAAATAGCTTATACCCAGACCCTTTCTGCCTCTGAGAATTACAGTGCAAAATAGTTATCCTAGCACCACTGTTGCATGCTATGAAAATATGAAAGACTGTGTTGATACTAGCAAACTTTCATTTACTTGAACCTAGAAAATAAAATACTTCACATGGCCTTTTTATATTAGTAACTTTAAAAAGTAAAGAATCACAAAAATACCCATTATGTTTCAGTTTAGTTGTTAAATTATAAATAAGCTTATTGTTCTGCTTGTATTTTAGAAAGAACTGCTATGCAAGCATAATTTGTAAGTGTGTTAGATACAAGTCTTGATCAGACTTGTTTGACAACTTATTTGGATTTTTGTCACATTCAAAGCTTTATATTTAAGAATTTTTGTGTTAAAAAAAGAATCAAAGGTGAAATTACTCTAAATTGTTGCAATTTAGACTTTTTAGCTAACTCTAAAAGTCCAAATAAACATATATTACATTACAGCCATTATATAAAAAGCTAGGATAAATACAAAGCATTAGACAAAGTTTGTGCCCAAAAGGAGCTCTATTAATAGAAATTTTAATTTTCAGAAATTTTACTGATGTGCTAAATTTACCTTCATAGGAGCCTCTGAAATTGTGGCAAATGTCACCATTTTTTTAATAAAACTAAGAAATAAAGCCACACAAGTAAGCTGGAAAGAGAATTTGAATATGAAGTTCAAGTTGTTTATTACTACTTGTTGAAGTCTTCCTAGACTACTATATCAATATTAAAGATGGACATGTTTCCTAGATTTATCAGGCAAATGCCCCACTCATAGAGTTGCCCTCTAATTGCCTAGATGTCTTATGTGAAATTGAATTGGGGCCTAAATCATAGAATTACTTCATTTTATTACTCAAAATATTTCTTTTTAATAGCATCCAGATGTGTGCCCACAGAGGCAGGGTAGTATGACTGCAAAACATTTGGCCAACATATTCAATTTATAAACATAATTGGGCCAGTTGTTAGTCATCAAATAGACCCAATTTCCAGATGTTGGGTTCCTTTCCCATTGAATGGATCTAATTAGTAATCTGTCATCTTTCAATGTATCCACCCTAAGAAATTGCAAATGTGTTCAGAATTTAAACTAGTAGCTTCCTTTTATTACTTGCATTCTAGACCTAACCTTGTTTACTTGCTCTGTAATCCTATGGAAGTGTCACACTGAACAACACACAGACAACTAAAGTGTGATATGTTCATTTTTCTTGACCAACATGTGGCATTTTCCTCTAGGAAAAGAATTTCATGAATGAGGAAAGGTTGCCTCTCCATATCACATAAGTGAAATTTTCATAATGATTTAAGTGATTTTCATAATCCAAGTTAATCACGAACTGAACTTTTTCTTTCTACAGAAACACAGAAATAAAGTTAGAAAAACATCCAGAAAGGTAACAAAATTCTGTCTGCACACACAGTATGCATGAAAGATCCTCAATATAGTATTCAAGGAGCCCAAAAGATAAGTAGACTGAGTCTCAGTAAGTAATGACAGGCAAGGCAGGAAAGAAGTGGCCTTCCAGTTCCCACATGCAATCTCCACCATCTGCTAATGGGCCTCAGGATAGACTCTGATGTCAGAATATGCACTTTGAAAACTCTACTCCTGTCTCTTGGTGCAATTACCCTATTTCTGAGTTTTATCATATATCCCCCAAATGTTGTTTCTCTTGGACTTCATCAGTTTTTGAGTGTCTTGCTTTCAGCTTTCCAAAGTCTTATCTATTCTGCTCCAGAAATATGTGGGAAGTTGTTAACTTTTCCCTTCCCCTCTTGTTCCAAATACTCTAAATTTTCCTGAGAATGAGAAAGTTTACATATTGCCATAGTCGATGATTTATTTCACCTATGGGGATAGCTTGTTATTGTGTTTGCTTCCTCAAACCACATAAAAATCAATTTGTTAAAAATTAGATTTACAGAAAAATTACTAGGCTGTTATATTTCCTGAATATCTTTGTGAGCTTCATTAGGGCCAAAACTATGTCTAATTATCTTTGCACTATCAAAATATAGCCAACAGAGTCCCTTGTATGCAGTAAGCACTCAACATGTGACTACAAACTGAACAAAATGACGCTAAATAAAAGGGTTAAATTGACTACACACTTTGATGGACTCAAATGAGATAAAGTATCTCCAAAGAGAAATTTATGATTACTTAATTAAATTATCAGTTGCTAATAACATTGAATCTTGTTTTGTGAGCAGCATAGAAATGGTGCTGAACATATCACACCACCTCAAATGTACTTTAAAATAATTTTCAGTTTTGCTCATGTTATTTATGTGTTACATGATATAGTATATGTTTGTGTGTATGCATGTGCATATATGGGCATATACATATGCATACATAATAGATTGAACATGTATTTTACTACTTGGTAACATAATAATTTATCTTCTTTATAGTGCAAAGTTTGGGAATTGTATGAAAGAACTATGTTATCACTACATATATTATATTTTAATTTAGACTTAAGAGGTCAGAAAATTGAAAGGGATTTTGATTATATCCAATGACTAAACAATATACTAGACAAACACTATACAAATGAATACTAGCATGAAAACATGATTATCATAAAATATGTATAATATGTGCAAAATTCAATATATATATATGCCTGTGATTCCCAGAAACCATTATATTTTCTGGGGGAAACAGTAAGCTTATTTAAACCAGTACAGGTAGTTTGATGTTACTCCTGGAAAACACAGATTGTCAGTACAAGATCCTCCATAAGTTGGAGGACAAGATGAACATGGTACTCCCACTTTATATGGTGCTTCTCCAATCCAATTGCCTCTAGAAGGGGAATAAAAGATTGCATTAGTAAGACAAATTGATCAAAAAATTAGATTATTCTTAAACATACTTTATTGATATGTGATCAACTTTTGAGACATTTAGTTTAGAAAAGCACTGAGAGTTATATTGATTTCTTATTTCTGTAACTCTGTCTGTATAATTTGGTTTTTAAATACTTTTCATCGGAGTGAATAAATATTACCTTAATGTACAGGTACGAAGTGAGGCCCTGCAGTAGATGATGATATCATTAAGCCAGGGAATGCTTTGTTGAACCCCACCCAAGTGCAAGCTATAAGGCCATGATTACCTAAACTTAGTCCTCCTAAACTCATGATAATTATCCTCTTTAAGGCTGATTTTAAAATACTAGCATTTTCTGGAATGCTTAGAAATGATGAAATGAGAGAGAATTCAGTATATATACAAAGAATACACTAAATTTGTCACAAAATTTTTTGTGAAGTGACAAAACATTTTAGATTCCAGGCTTCATAAAATAAACACTCTTCTGAACTACATCCCTACCCAGTCCATCATACTGGCATAGTAAAAAAAAGTTCAGATGAGCAATTAAGGATGATTTCAACTCTTTGCTCATATATAAATCCATGGTTACTTACTGTTTGTAGTTAATGGTATTACAGTTTGATACCATTGAACACATTTCACTGAATTACTTTGTATTATCAGTATTTCTTTCACTGATTGATGGCCATGATCATAATAATAAAACAAAGTCAGCATTCATGACAGTTAAAAAGTAGCTGTGACGGATTGTGACTTTCTGTAATGTGATTTTTTAAATTATACAGGTGAGGGTAATAAATGTATGTTGAGTAGCATGGTGATTAATAACTTGAATATTAAGAAATGTAAAAACTGGGGCTGGGAATTTAGCTCAGTGGCCTAAGTGCCTGCCTGGCAAGAATGAGGTTATGTGTTTGATCCCTGGTACACCAAAAAAAAAAAAAAAAAAAAAAAAAGTAATGTAAAGAAATGGATGATCAGGAAAAACTGTCATCAATGGCAAAAAGCTACGATTTGGCTACTAGTTAACATTTTAAAACTTTTAATTACTTAGGTTTCAGAAAAAACTTTTTAGTATTACTGAGATACATCATATTAGTACTAAATCTTAATTTCTTGAATCTGTAAAGCAATAATATATCTCATCAATGATACGAGAAAAATTTAATCACTGACCAAAAACAGAATAGTTAAATGAGACGAAAATACCTTTGACCATTTGATAACTTACTTACCTGGTACATTTGTGACAAAGACTTAACAGCAAAATATAAAATGTGGAAGTAAAAATATCAAAGAAATGCACAAATTTGTTATTTTTGTAAACAATGCAGGCACATTGTCTGTCCCAAATCTCTCCATCTTAATAAGTGTGAAGAAGGAACCATCAGGAAATCGCTATTTTTCTTTTCTAACTTTGTGGAAACACTGCCACTGGCGCGATGCCCTATCAATGAGTAATGCACTTATTGGTGACACATTTTCTCATTCTCTCCCCATGCTGGACTAGCGAGAGAAAATCTTTGTTTGGGATTGACTTTGGAAGACACTAAGACTATCATAAATCCTTTGCACATTTGGTTACTTATTCCAAGTGGGAACACAACAGAGTATAAATATTGGAACATTTTATCATATAAAGAACTATTGTTATCAGGAAGGCATTTTATCAAATGTTGGCAAATGTTTGTTGATCCTTATTCTACAAAAAACTTCATAAATATGACTATCGTTTATGGTCTTTGATAAATTTTTACAATATATTTTATGTAGCCATAGATGAGATTACAGAGTATTTTTAATCCAAAAAATAACAGAAATAAAGGATTCATTTCAAATGTCTTGCTTTCCTACTAAAAAAAGTGAGCCAATGTTCTGATACTGATAATTTAAAATATGGTGGTGCTGATAAATACTTATAATATTCTTTTTGAAGGCCTTTTATATAGTTATTAAAACAGTTATGTATAGTGCAGTTTTTACAGTTTCCATGAGAGGAAAAAAAAGAGGGTAAAGAGGATTTAGTGACTGCCACCATCCCAAACTGTTTTGCTTACAATTTTAGACTAGAAACTTTGCTTTGGCAAAAAGAAACGTGTCACCTGATAAGTTTTTAGGAATATGGGCATGATGATGGCCAGAGAATGAGAACTGAGGACTGAGGACTGAGGGATGATGTTTAGGGGGCTGAGAGCCGGAGATTAGAGGCCACAATGCTAAGTTTTACTGATTTGTTAAACACTCCTATCAGGCTAGAGATATTTAACACCATTCAAGATCCTGGAAATAGAACCGAACCTGGTACTTACTTTGGGGCGTAGTTGCATACCAAGTACACAGCACGTCGCCATACTGATCCCCAAACATTCATGTTCTGGCAAGTATGAATTGCACATCCTATCCGATTAGAAGTGGCCCAAACCATCTGTGAAAAGAAACAAATATTTCCTCATATTATTAAGAAAATGATGGTATGCCAAAATAAGAACATTTTTTAAAGTGTCAATCATAAAATATTGAAATAACCTGTGTATAGTGTGTGCACATGGGGCCAAAACACCTCATAGGACATCTGGGGTTGCAATCCTGAGGATATGGGAAAACATAATCTTTCACTTCATCATACCATGGCTTGACCAACTGGAGAACAGAGCGGTATCTGTATGTTAAGGGGCAAAAGAAAGAAAACAGTACAGCAATTGTACTTTTTACTGGGCTCGTGTTATATTGTTAATTCACTTTTTAAAGATTATTATGATAATACAAGAGTATATTTAACCCTCAAATTACCAACATATACTAGTATTTTTGTATTTCTCTAGACTGGAGTAAATGGTCTTGCATTTGTCTAAATTTATATTAGATTACTTTGAAAAAAGAAAACATTCAGGAATCATCAAAGTGCTATTCAATCCATTTTAAAAATTCTAACAGAACTTTATAAAAAACTCAGAACTAGGCTATCAAAGTGGTCACAATAATAGCAGTGATGCATTTTCCCCTTAAATACGGATAACTTTAATTATAGTGATAGCACAACTGATTTTCCTGCTCTGTATAGAAAAGAATGGGTCTTTGGAAGATTGGATAGTGATATTCTGTAGTGGTAAAAATTTATCCTATCAGTTGAAATAGACTTTACTATAATTGCATTTACCTGCATATGTATGAATGTGTGTGTATATATATTTATATATGTAAATACTAAAAACATGTATTGTACTTGCCTATTAATTAATATGCAAGTAAAAACAATTGGAAATTGTGCACACACATATGTGCCCATGCATGTGTGTACATAAACATGTACGATACAAATGACTTCTTCCAGAGTCATGAAAATTTTCCTGAGGAAATGGACAGGACATAGTATCTGCTTGATTCTTTCTAAGATTCTATGAAGTCAATGACTAAAGGGCTGTGCTCTAAGGGTGAAAGAGGAAACTATTCTTACTAAGATTTTTAACTAGTTATATCATTCTTGAAGCCATCTAAGATAGCCACTGGGCCTAAGGTCACTCACTGCCTGATACATAGTGGGACTCAATCAAGTATTTTCTGGTATTACTTGAAATTGATGTCATTTCTTGGAGCACAATTAGTAGTCACATAGACAAACTGCATTGATATGAAATTGTCTCCTACCTTCCAGTTCGTACAGATAGATTTTGGCCCAAAAATCTCAACAAGTAAGAAGGTCCATGATCCCAAATACAAGTAGCTGCCCAAGCCTCTGCAGATTTTGCGAGATTTTCATCCCAAACCTGTAAGAATGACAAATCTTCAGCTTTGATGGGTTTGCTATAACAAACAAAACTAAACAGAAAGGAGTGATGCTACTATATCCTAGAGTCTTTCAATTCTGGGTCCTGAGACTATTTTAACTAAAAGAAAGCAAATTCAGATCACTAATGTTCAAAATTCTATGAAACAACATATTGTATATAAAAAATTATCGTCCTTACAATTACATCTACAACCGACATCTAGATACTAGATCTTGTAAGTAAAAGATTAGCAAAGTGTCATATCTGATTACAACTAGAGGACATTTTTACTGAAATTTGTAGCCAGCAAAGTCATCTTTACAGCAATAAAGAGTCATGCTACCAGTATATTTTAAAAGTAAATATGATCAAATTTGTTCAAATTGATTTAACAAAATTAACACATCCAATATTATATAGCAAATTTCGAGATCAAACTACATCACAGTACAATACATTTCATGGAAACTTAATGCATTATACCACTTGTATCTTTAGTAATAGTAATGATATTGAAGTGATATATATTTTTAGGTGAATGAACTGGAAATAAAACATAAACTTAACTTCACAATAGTACATAGAGTGCTGTAAAAATGTATTATACTTTAATTAAATAAATTTTAAAAACAATAACTGCTGTTTTCCTTGAAAAATGAAGTTAATAATGAAACTATTCACATGTAGAACATTTAAGTTAGCTGTGAAAATTGTCGAAGAAAATTTGAGTGAGATTTTGACTAATATACATTGACATTAGTTACCACATAGATTAATATGCACATTTCCATAGCTGCATAACGACGCAAACCAAGCATTTGTGGATCTACCAATAACATAAAAACTCTAAAATGGTATCTAGTTCTCTAGTAAGTTCCAAGGTACATATTCTACACAAAGATATTTTTCAAAATTTCCCAATGTAAAAAATAAAAAAATAATTTAGTGATATACTTATGTGTTGAAAAGAGTGACTTTCAAATTGATATTTTAAATTCCAAGTTATGTAGTTATTTCTGAAAAATCTGTGTTTTTATTGTGACTAGATAGTGATCAGTAACATATTTAGGAAGTAAGACTTCATATGATGAAGGAAGGTACAGTTCTAGAGTCACTCAAAGTCACATGCAGCTTCATGTGAGAACTTGGTGCCTTCCTTCTCATCAGCCTTTGTGCAGTTAAGCAAAGGTTAAGAGCCACGTGTCAAGTTTAAAACTTGCAAACAAAAATTATCTTCCATAAATTGACATGGAATTGCTAAATTTACATAAAAAGTTTATAAGTTCACAAAGGTCATATGATATCACAGTAACCTAGGACTGAGATGAACTTCATAAAACATTCTGTTCAACTGATAACAGATTTATGCATATTTGTTCTCTGACAAACTATTAACAAAGTATAAATTTCCAAAATATAGACCATGCTTTACCAAAATAAAAAACAGCATAATTATTTCATGAAGAGAGTTCAGCAATTCATTTCTAAAATTTTATTTCTGAAAATACCATTAACAGAATGTATCTCTTTAAAGGATGTTTATCTTTGTAGTTGGAATTAATACAACTTTGTAGTTGTATTAAATTGCACATTCGGATCTAAACACTTTTCTATAATCTACTAAAATATAAACGCAACTTGGCATAAATAACAATGACCTGAAATGCAAGCATACTGTATTTTTTCCTATTTCTGCCAGTAATATAATCTGTTACTAAGAGCATGACAGCTAGTATCTATCTGCCATTTGACTCATTCCAAAAATAAAGAAATTTAATGAGGCCATTTTTTAGGGTCCATTTTATTTTATTTATTTCAAGAAAATAAATGTATTTGAATAGTCCCAGGAACAGAACCAGACTAATCTAAACTCTGGATCTATACAATAAAGGAGAAAACCCATAGATTCTATTTGACATAAATAAAAATATTAACACCCCTGTTTCCCATCATTTCATAATCTATATCTATATCTATATCAAAAGATTAGGTTGTATTTTTAATATATACAAAAAACCTTTAAAATGTAGCAATAAGTATGTCACACTATCTTTGTGCTCTGTCATATATTTAAAAACTAAGTACTGGGGGCCGGGAATATAGCTCAGCAGCACAAGTGCCTGCCCATCAAACTCAGTCCAATTGCTGGTACCAAAAATACAAACAAAAAACCTAAATATTTGGAGTGTATAAATTCATGCCTCAAATATGTTTCTAAAAGTATCCTTTTTAAGCATTAATAAAAGATATTTTGATACAAAGAAAATGTGTTTAGAATTACTGGAGCTGACATAATTGAGATATTTCTAGTAAAAGTATTGTAAGTAAAATTTTTGAGAATCTTGTTCAGGGGAGGAGGACTATGTTCTTTCTCTACCTGCTTACTTTCTGGGAACTGGGGAAAATTATCTCTGTCTCCTCCATGTTCTCAAAGGAAGATTCCGGAAAGTCAGCCAGGCACAAGTCAGGTGCCTTACTAAAGTATGATATGCCCTCCACGATGGAGAGATAACTGACTTTCCCTTTAATGCTGGCTACAGGGATATTAAAAACACTACACTGTGGTCTTTTTTTGCATTTTGACTCACACTCACCTTGTATGGAAGGGAGATTTACAGAATATAGGGCGATACGATATCTAAAAATCACATCATATCTTCTGGTACAGTTAATAGCTTTATTTTTGTCTCTGCATTTCCCTGTTGTTTACATCTCCCACAGGAAGATGGGTTTATGCTTTTAATATCAAGTAGTATTTAAATTTATGAATAGGAAAGCTTTTTGAGTGTCAAAAATAACAGTAAATCATAACTTTAATAACTATAGAAAATTTTAACAAAAGATCACGGTCTGGAGGCAGAGGTCCTGTGTGATACATTCTTTCTGATCCAAAAGCCCTAGGTTGGAATGAATGTTGCCAGGATAATAATGTGAAAGAATTAAACAACTTATTGACATTTAAGGGACAAGGCTGTAAATTGCCTAAACATTTAACTTAACTTGTAAATTTCTGTATTCATGAATGACAATCTATTTGTTAGATATCTCTGAAAATCTTTTCTGATCATTTATTTAAAGTAATCTTAGTATTACAAACTATAGATGCATCCACAGAGGAAAAAAGGACACAAGTACACTTATTTCTATGGATCACAAGTAAATACACAAACTACTGCTATCTTTTGTTGCGAAAACTAATCATCTGGTAATTACTTAGCTTTTATTCAAACAGCTTCAACATTGTTCATAGTTCTCCCCCTCTGTCAAATAAGATTCTGCCATAGATAATTTCCTCATAAATGCTTCTAATACTACCTTGGAAGGAAGAGGCAAAAATTAAGAATATTATGCATCAGTTTGGAAAATGCTTACAGGACCCATTAGAACTTAAGTATTATTATTAAAGTAGACAAGTTATCAAATAAAAATGGCCTACAGTGGAGTTAGAGTATGCATAGGTTTGCTGTTCTTTTAGCTGCTCCACATGCTGTTCCTTTATTCTTTGTTATTAGGATCCATTTAGTTGGTCAGTTCACAAGTTGGTTAGATTAGCTTGAATCCAAACATTCATTATGAGCTGCGTTACTATTACTAGTTAGTAACTTGTATTGGACAGAATACCTTGTCTATAAATCGCAAGAAATATAAAGCACTTATACTAAGACTTGAGAAAGATCCAGAATACAATCTGATTTCATTTAACTATCTAGAAGAGTTAATTCTATGAGGCAAGAAATATGAGAAGAATGCAGCATTCTCTTCAAATTCAGAAATCTTTCAAGTGTGGGCTGAAGAAATACAAAGTTGAGTCAAGGGACATTGCTGTGTGTACGAGATTACCAGCTCTCACATCTAGACAATGAAAACAACTTAAAATCAACCCAGATAAAAGGTATCTAATCAACTCTCATTAGATTTGGGATCCACAAAACAGTGGAAGCCAGGATCATGAAAATCAAATTACATCTGCAGCTCCCTTCTTATAATCCTAGCCTGTATGCCTGGCCAATCAGAAACATTTTCGAAGTTGAAAAGCATCACTAAACATTACTTGGGGCTGTAATTCTACCTTTATTTGAAATGACATTTTTTTCCTCAAGGAAGTAACATCTTTAGGTCAGAAATTTGTCCTTACTACTAATACAGCTAAGAAACATGGCTTATTGTAGTAAGTAGGTAGTCATATTTTTCAACATAAAGTATACAAATATATAATTACTCAGTTCTCTTAAGGTCAAAATTATCAAAAAACTTTTAAATCATTAAAACATTATTGTAAAATTTAGAAGAAATTAAAAAGAACTGTTTGTTGTCTAATATGAATTATTTAAATGTATGAAAAGAATAACTATCAAGAAATCTATTGAAATGTTTAAAATAAATTGAAAATATTAAAGTTCTAGTACAAAACTTTAATTTGCAAATATAGACATTAAATAAATGTGATTGTCAAAACTTGCAAGATTTAAGAAACACAGTTATTCATAAATTGAAGCTTAAATCAAAGGAAAAAATAAAAATGCTAATTTTGAAAATCAAAGTGAACTATGAAAAATTTTTCTGTACATGGAAGCCATCTTCTAAGGTATAAAATGCTAAAAACAAAAATAGTCACTTTTGAATTTTTGAATACAGATTTATGAACTGGTTAACATCATGGGTGCTAGGTGATAGCAATGGTATTGGAGGCAGTGTGGCATGCTCCAGAGACTTTCATTTTCTTGGACATTTCTTCAAGTAGTCATTTATTACATACTTAGATAAAACTAAACATGTTTTATGTAATATTTTTGGTTTTTTTTTTAATAGCATATGTTGAGTTATTTGGTCTTTTTGTTAGAAAATTGTCAAGAGTGCTGACTTGAAGAGGGTAGAAACTGCCACTCAAATATAAACAGCACAGTTATTTCCCCAGGGCAGCCACCAGCTTTGAAACACTTCATGGGCATTCTTACAGTTCTGTTTGAAAACAGGTGGGCTTATCCTCTTTAGATAGA